CCCTATCGTCGCTTCGATCCGGCAAAACAACCCCGACGCTCGGCTTGCAGCCTGCCGAGTGAGAATAGGATTCCCTTTGAAACAGGCACTACAATACTGGACCCTATATCAACAATACAGGAAGAACGCCCGCCCTCTACTGATGATGGAACGTTATCTACTGGCGCGGTGTCCACTATGGGAGGGGTGCTATCACGGCCAAAAAAGTCTCTTCTATACCCAGCGACAGCGTGACAGAGCTTTACATAGATCTATTTCTTTTCCTGTTGACGAAGAAATAATTTGTGAACAATCTGTGAGTGTTGGCTAGGGAATTTGATTTCGAATGCTATTATGGGGTGACCTCATTGATTGCTATATCGATCGGGTACTTGAAATCCCAAGACGCTGAAGATAAAATTGATGTGATTGTGTGCCGAGTGCTTCCTAGTACAAGGCTTGTATTTACATGTGCTGTCGCTGTGACCCTTCGCCCGCTGCCGCCTCCTGTCATATGACCAACAGACATTATAGCAAAGATCCGCCAGCTGGGAGGCGCGAACCGCGAGCTGGGGATGAGCTCCGCCGTACTCGGGTCCGGCTGGGCGACACGCGCAGCGATAGCGGTCGATTCCAGACAAAGTCCCGTGGGCTTCAGAGTGAGCTTGACGCCAGCTCACACCGAGCCAGTCGGCTAGAGACTGAATTGACGCATGTCAGAGGGGGAATCACGGAGGCGATGAAGGCGTTGCAAGGCCATAAGGGCCAGAACAGTAGCGCTATACATTCGTCAGGGCCATCTCCCGAAAGCGTTCACAAACTAGACTGCCCTCCCACTCACCAATTCTGACAACCCCGGACCTTAGCCTCACAGATCTGACTCGAGGTCATTAGTAGTGGTGTACTCTAGACACGGGAATTGAGTGGCGGAATGGCCCTAATGGCCCACAAGGGCACGAAGCATGACCGGTTTAAAATCTGGTCAAAATAGCTAAAAAAAAAAATATACAATTACAAGTCTGCGTGGCAAATGCACATGCATCGTCTAACAAGATGGTGATGGCGAGGTGACCGTGCGGTGAATAAGTTCCGTTGAGATATCACAATAGATGGCAGATCTGTCTGACGTAGGTCTAGTTCTCGGAATCGGCTTGACTCTTTTCTGGCCCTACACTGAGGACTAGCGGTTTCATGATCACCTCAATATCCACTTCTACGGCCTAAGCGTCGCCGGCGATAACTTCTACGTCTTAGGACGAGAATTCCTAATCTAATCGACATAGGAAGCGTAAGACAGCTTTATCTTTATCTAATTCTATCCAACTATTTCGTCACTTTTGATATAACATTTCTAAAAACGTTCGATATAAAATGGCTAGCTAGCCGCCGTATAGGCTGATTTCTCTATTTATATAGGGTTCTAAAAGGCAGAGGGTTAGGACCTACATAAATTGAAGGTGAGGTTGGAATACTAAGAAATTCATGCTTTTTGCATGTGTAGTGAAATACACTTACGATGCCTTACTAGTTAGGGCTACACAAGTGCAGGGGGGTTCCATTCGTCAAAGAAAATAGGGTCCATTTAGGAATCTCCCATCAATATAGATTCGATCATTTGCGGTTTTCGTCAATGCAAGCCCCCAAAGGCGACATGCATTTTTATGCCTTCAATCAGGCGCTACCTGGCTGTTTCCGTTGCATGATGTTCAAACACGCTGGGATTTCACTTTCTTGATGCTTCGCCGTGCGCGTCGACTAGGAAATATCATCGACAAATACTGCCCACCCAGCTAGGTGAGGGTCAGGGGAACCGAAATACTTCCATCGGCTGGGCTAATAATCTGCCTCCGGTTTGAACGAAATTTGTTTGGTGGGGTGGTGGCGGAGGTATGCACCGCGATAGGCTGCTGTTGGAGGCCGTAATGACCCCCAAACGAGTCGAAACCTCGACAATTTGAAGGATAAAAGCATGTGCAAGCGCGACTGGACTGCTGGTGACGACGCGGGCTATCTCTTCGCTCTCTTGTTTGCTTTTCTGGGCCTGTAACGGTGTCGAGACCGCAATAGTACGGTCGAAATCAGGTAGAACCTGGGTATCCAGACCTGCTTGGTATACCACAGTAGTTTGGCCCTGAACGAAGTGACGGTGGTTTGGGGACGAACTGGCAGAGAAGTTTGCTACGGATGCAAACAGTGCTGCGGGAGTATCCATAACACGAGAGCCTCCAGGCGGCTCGGCGCATGTATGACTGGAATTCGACATTTTGGCAAATGCTGTATCAAAATCAATCTATTGACTGGGGCCCTCGGATTTGCGGCGATCAGTGGGCAGAGAGGCTGAGTCCCCAGTGGAACACCCCGCTGTTAGGGAATCTACTATACCTGCTAGCAGACAGATTCCTGTCCGCCGTGCAATGTACTCGAGTCACAGGGTTGCGCTCGAAGCAGTCGATCTGGCCAATGTGATTAGACACCGTCGTCCGGGGAACCAGGACGCCAAAGACGCCGAAGAAAGGCCGTTGGTTGACATTGCACCGTCTGTACTACGGGATATCTGCGCTAGTGCATGTGATTGGGTTTGTTTGCATGATGAAGACCCTTCAAAGCTGCAGACTTCGCATATGTCAGCAAACCCCAAACTCGAAATCCCTGTCCAAGCTTCGGGGGAAGAGACCAAGAGACGAAGGGCAGATCTCGCCGAAATGGGAAAGACGCTTCGGGATATCGTGGCCGCAGCTTCATCCCATAGAGATACGAGAAGATGATTAAGCGCCTGGATAATTCTAGACAAAGGGAGAAGGAAGCAATAATAGGTCAATATTATTGGTGGAGAAAGCACAGGGAAGGAGAGAAGCTCCGACCCATCCAACTACTCTCAGGACCATCCAGGGTCGTATGACCAACCAGGTCATGTGATCTCAACAAATTGCAGCAAGTTAATCAATTCTGTCGTGAACTAGAGGACACGGGTTATGTATGTGTGTGCTAAGTAAGGGGTGAACCCTTATCAGGCTATACTTGCTTAGCCTAGTGACATCACAATTTCTGCGTAGCTTCAAACTTTCTACGACGGTAAGCAAGACTTGAGGTATTATCTATTTAGCGGCCACGTTAACCAGATGCCACACAGCCCGTTTTATGTAGAAGCGCCTCCACCCCGGCGGATACGCACCGAAGCGCTTGCCGTGTACGAGTGCTTTGCCGAGGTATAGTATATGTGAAAACCAGTGCTTAGAAGAGATGCATGTTCAGCTAGACCTAGAAAGCTTATGTCATTAACTCAGTTGCGATTTGGTTGGGAGAATTGCCTTCAAAATATGTAGGTATGGGTAAGATGATTTGGCTTATAAATATAGATTGAGCTTTCCCTACAAGTATTGGATAGTCAGCTTGGATTGAAGGCTAATAAGCTAACATGCCTGTGCTAAAGTTTCCTTTCCGACCTCTCTTCTGTCTCTCCTTCTCTATTAACGCAGAAAGTGTCAACACCACCCCTATCTCCCCAGATTCACCTAGGTCATCTTGAAATTGCAACCTTCCTCCCTTCCCTGATCCAGGTGTGGCTCCATTGTATACAGCACATACTTGAAGGTTGTCGGCATCACATAATTCTAAGTCTAGCACGCCCGTGGTATTTGAGATGCTTGCACTCTGCGCGGCTCTTTTCCAGACAAAATGCTGCTTTGATTTCTGCAGTATCCCATCGACACGGTGAGAGGCATCCATAGTCCAGCGGTAGTAGGCGTGATCTTGCACTGATAGCATCTTTGATGGGTGTTCGTCATTTAGGCGAAATTGGATTTGAGATGTGCGGAATTTGTTGAAGCGACAGCTGCCAAGTTCCTGGTAGCCTTTCTCGGCGCCTGCGTGCATTTCGATATCTGTAATGTCGCTGAACAGACCTGAGATGTGTATCGAGTAAAGAGTATTCTGATCGTCTTGCTTTGAGAAAACCCTCATGTTGATGCGCATCGGTCCCGTGCGCGCAAATACAAGCTCCTTTCGCCGAGGATTTCGGTTTTCGATTGAGGCATAACCACTTGTACCAGCGTTTGTATCGTTGTGTAAGAGCATCTCAAGAAAGTATAGGAGGGTTGACTGTAGCTAGGAACCAAGGGTATAAATATTTGGATCAATAGAGGGACGCTTAGCTTCGCAGATTTGACCCTCGAATACAGGAAAACAGTCGCTTATGACAAACCTTCTGATCTAAACCTGTGCTCCGACGTGCGTTAATACGATAGATCTGCATAGCCACTAAGGGGGCTTAGCTAGAATCTTTCTGCACAGCCGCTCGATAGCATCATTTTGTCCGAAAAAGCAAGCTTCTAAATTTAGAACAAGAACAACGCTGCCTCGATATAATAGAAATGGCAGTTGTGAGTAGGATCCATAGAGAAACATAAACGAGAATCAAGTTCGCCATGCACGAGGTAGATAAAGACGGACACAACGAAAGAAGGTAATAGAGGGCGGTGAGCATGAAGCAAGCCAGATCGAGTGTAGGCTAGTGTAGTGTCTCTTGGCGTTGGGGCTGGAGAATCAATCGAAGTGTGTAGGTGATCGCACCTGTTTTGTGACGTATTGTACTCGATCTCTCTCTCACCCAGAATTCAAATCACTGGCAACCAATGTTTCAGATTCGCCCCTATTCCATAAAGACGTTCTAGTTGAGCGTCCGCATAGTTTATCCTAGACCGCCCGTTCTCGGACACCCGTATTTGCTAAGAATCAGCATTGGAAATACAAATACTCAGCTAGTGCCTAATGGGGTATAGCGCGCGTTGACCGGGTCCAAATGCTAAGAACGGGGGTCCTTTTAATATGGACCTATATATATAACTGTTAAAGACGATTACTGAACAGTGGAATCTTATGGGCTATTTATGTAACATTTGAGGCAATATAAATGCTAATCAACGGGCAATTATGGGGCTCCTTTCTGTGAGCGCGAGAAATTTGATGTGACCTGATGAACAGCCGATCCCCAAATTTGCTGCTGACATAGCGAATCGAAAAGAATCTTGCGGTCTATACTCAGCGGGCAAACACAGGAGGTTGACTCCATTGTAGGTTATCCAGAAGAGTCATGACTCAAGCCTTACCCATATTGCGCGGGCGATGAAATCGAGTCATGAGGCAAGGTGTGACAGGAGCAATTGAAAGTATATCAAACGTACCCATACTCGCGTGCAGGTGGTTGAAATAATTTATCGAATTGAAGGAAGTCAGGGGAAGTGATATGGAGAGTTGACACACTCTGCCGGTGGCCGGATCCCAGATCTTGACTGTCGTATCACCGGACCCCGATGCGAGTCATTTGGCTGGTCATCGAAAGAAGTGCGTTACTCAAGCTTGGCGGCCGCGAATGACGACGGTGTAAGAGCCCATTCCGTTGCGAGTAACTCGGGTTTGCCGGTGAGTCCTCTATACCACGCCGCGGCAGCCCGGGGTAGCTATTAGATTGACCAATGGTAAGGCCAGATGCTTGGCGCTTCAGCGTTGAAAATAGCTGTATAAATTGACGATTGAACAAACTGGTGCGTTTCTTAGGTTGTTCGGTAAAGGAAAAATTCTCCAAAGATGCTCTAACATTGATAATGTTATTGTTATCAATTGTTGCTGCGAGTGATGCCGTTTCGAGATCCCGTACTCTGTTAAAAGCTACCATAGCATCGGTAGAGCTGTCCGGCTGGATCGCTTGCGATCTAGGTGTCGCATTGCGGGCGAATCATGCCAGGGTACTTTGCTCATCTATGGTGGGTGAGAAAGATGAATAGGCTTCGAAGGTGCTTGCGATCATATCTGCCAGGTTCATCTACATCGGCTGAGGGCTCCTCGGAGTAAGTGTCAATGTTTGCTTCAGCTTCGCTGAGGTCGTCGCTGCTTTCATGAACTAATACCCCGGGCCCAGGAAAGGATGCGTCTCTGGTGCGGGGTTTTAGCTTGAAATAATCTTCTTGTTCCAAAGGGTGACCTCCGGTAATTCTCGCTCGAATTCAAAGTTTCCTTTTCCTGGAAACACGTTGTGGGTGTGGACGCGGTGAACTAACAGTGTCTGTACCAGCATCACTGTTAGCTACGCTCACAGAGACAGACCAGTGGAAAATGTCCTCGGTTTTCTCGTTCCTTTCTCGCTGAACATAGACGTCGTTACGACTCAGCAGGAATTCGTCTCCACCGGACCTTGGATCAATTGACTTAGCCACCTCAAGATAGCCATTTGATGACGCTACATCCACTGGTGTCCATCCGTTGTTGTCCGCAACCGTGTGACCTTCAGAACAAGCAGCGACCAAGGTATTGCCGTAGCCCCCATCTTGAGTATTGAATACGGCTCCCAGCTCTAACAACACCTGCACAATCTTGTTGTGTCCTTTAGAATAGGCGGCCTGTAGGGCATTGCCGTAGTATCCACCCTGGGCATTGACATCGACCCCGTGCTCCAGCAGCACTTGCACAACCTGTGCGTGTCCTCCAGAACAGGCAGCCTGCAACGCATTACCATCACCCTGAGTACTGAAATCGACCCCGTGCTCCAGCAGCACTTGCACAACCTGTGCGTGTCCTCCGGAACAGGCAGCCTGTAGCGCATTCCCGTAGTGTCCACCCTGGGCATTGACATCGGCTCCGTGCTGTAGCAAAATTTTCACAATCTTGTTATATCCTTTAGCACAAGCAGCCAGTAGAGCAACCCGACACCCTCCACCAGTAAGGTAAATGTGAGCTCTCCAGTCCATTAGCTGCTTTACTATCTGAACGTATCCTTTTGTAGCGGCAACGTATAGAGGATTGCCAAATATTTCATCTGGAGAATAAGCATTGCTTCCCCATTTCAGGAGTATCGGTACTACCTCGCTATGACCTTCTGCACAAGCTACTTGTAGAGCGTTACCACACAAGCCACCACGAGCATTGACGTTTGCGCCTTGCTGCAAAAGCATTTGTACAATATTTCCATGTCCTTTTGAGGAAGCAGCATACAGAGCATGGCTGTTCTCTCTACCAGGAAGCTGGACCTGAATGATGTTGTCGTGGGCCGCTGACGAAACGTGTAGCCTTTCTCCGTATGTTTGACCTTGAAGGAGGATCTGCGCAAACTCCTCGTAGCTTTCCCGAGAGGCTGTCTGTTTTGCATTGCTGTACCCTGTACACAGGGCGTTGACATCTGCACCCCAATCCAGTAGCATCCGCACAACGTTTCCGTGCCCCTTTAAAGAAGCAGCATACAAGGCACTTCCAAAAGAACCCCCCGGGGCGTTGACGTTGCTCCCTTTCTTTAATAGCAGTTCAACCACATCAACATGTCCGTTCCGTGAAGCCCAAATTAATCCACTGGATCCTGTGCTATCGGCAATCGTGGTGTTCCCTTCGTTAAGCGAAATCAAACGTCGGACAACTTGTTCATGTCCATTGAAAGCTGCTAGGTGAATAGCATCTAGATTGGGCTTTTCATGACGATGCATCACACTCTTCCAAAACATCGGAAACCAAAATATGAACCTTTTAATAGATGTGTCATAAAGACAATCTAACATCTTATTGACTTCCTCATCCTTAAACGGTGAAGTATTTCGTATATGGTAAGCCCAGTGCTCAGCGGAATAGCTTAGTAGGTTTTGGACATCAAATTTGGAGGCAAACTCATCGTCCTCCAAGTCTTTCATCAACAAGTATCTGAGACAGATTTGCGATAGTTGGTTGTGGGCATCTTTTAGGTGGAAGGAGTATATGGAATGAACATTGCTAGCAATGTCATTTTTAATCAGAAACTCTTTAGCTGTCTGGTGAATAAGGCAGATCCTCGAGTTTTGGATGAAGACAAAAAGCCCACACAGTCGGCGTATCTTTGAATCCAAGCCCATTGGATCTAGACCAGCATCTCTTGCCAATTGGCAATTTGGCGAGACAGCCACACCCAGCGCCATAGCCATTTCTTCAATACTTAATGGACGACGAGCGCCGACAATGATTTTCAGAATTTTGCCAACCGTATCTGTCTGTTGAGGTGGAACAGCTGCAAGAATCTTCTCATATGCCGCAGAAACAGTGGGGGGAATCAGTCGAATAAACTCTTCAGCCGGCCGAAGGCTATCTCGAAATGTATCTCGCATGTCAATAATGGCTAGATATAGCCAAAGATAGGTTCGATGTTCCATTTGAAGAAGCTGTTGCTCCAGCCGCTGCTGTATGTGTCGTGAGAGCTTTGAGGTTCGAGCCAGCTCTTGCACTCTTATTCTGACAACAAGATCAATCTCCCTGCGAATCTGGTCATTCTCATTCTCGCCTTGCAGAGGATATATGGGAATGGCTTTGTGACCTCTTGAAAATTGACTTGAATCTGATCGTAGGGACGGCTCGTAACAAGAAACTTTATCCAATTTTCCTGGTTCAGCACATGACGTTTTTGATAGAAACCATTGAGTTTCTTGATGAGCTGCTCCTGATGATCTGTACGACATTCGTCCAGTGCGTGGATTATGAGGATGTGAGCGTGTGTATTTATTGACCTTGAAATCTGGAATCTCCTCTGGTGGACATCTGTTGAGTTGCATCTCATCACTTTGATCCTGTAGTTTGCTCGTTCATCCTTTTTGAGAAGCATGTTACCCTTCTTCCTCGGACTTTTGACATTTCTGGAAATGACTAACTAGCTCACCATTTAGGTTCTGTGAGTAGTAGTAGGCCCTAGTATAGCCCATAGAGATGTGCGGACGAATGCTGTATAGTCAATGGATGATTTGAGATGAGATACTGCTATACTATTAATTTCTGAACAAGTTTCAGATAGTAAGAACAATAATAGGAAGCAAGAAGATAGTCCCATCTGAATTAGAAACCTCCCAACAGCTACATCTCTTCATTTCACTGCCTACTAAGGTAACCATTAAAGTTATCCAAAGGCGCATCATCCTCGACAATCTTCCAAACCTGCTCAATTTGCGCCGCAATCGCAGAATCAAGAGGACCCTTCGCAAACGCTGCAAGGGTCTGAATCAGCTGCTCAATAGTGCGCGTACCAAAGATAACCCCATCCCCAGACTCCCGGCTTAGCGCCGAGTTATGCGCCACCCACCGATACGCTAGCTCAACCTTGGGAATACCAGACTCCTTAGAGATCTTACCCCAAAGCTTCAACCCCTCGAGCATGTTCTTCTTATTATAGAGCGTATGGTAAATCCCACCAATACTTGTCTTCGGATCCCATCGACCCTCACCACCAGAAACCAACACCTCGACGTCCTTAGTCAAGAATCCACCTGCAATAGGAGAGTATGCATTGAAGGAGATATTGTGCTTGCGCAGTGTTGGGAGTAGCTCTGTCTCCGCGCGACGCGCGACGGCGGAGTAGTTTCCTTGGTACACACTGGGCAGGACGTATCCCTTCTCACGACAAACGCGGACAACTTCGTCAACCTCTGTGGCTAGGTAATTCGAAAGACCGAAGCGCTTGAACTTTCCGGCTTTGTAGAGGGCGTTTACACCGGCCAGAAGCTCCTCTAGGGGAAAGCGACGATCGGGTGCGTGAATATAGTAGACATCCACCTAATTATGCTGTTAGAGATAGAATTTCCACGTAACACATTGTTAGATGCATACCTGGTCTGTTTGGAGATAATTCAAACTCTGGTTTGCGATTGAACCGATCAATTCTTGGGAATTTGCTTCGGGAGCGAACCCGCCCGGGTGTTTCGTATCAATGGCAAACCGGGAGCTGGCATTGACCTGACCTAGAAGCTCCTCGGAATTCATATAGATTCTTGCTGTGTCGATAGTCTTGACACCATTGGCTTCCAGGATATCTAGAGCTGCATTGATGGATTCTAGGGTGGGATAGGACTCTTCGTCCATGATGGAGCCTCCACCCCAGATGAGATTGACGGGAGCCATGATTGATGGTTTGAAATAGATAGAGGATACAGCTGTGGATGAATGTTGTATTTTCTGCTGATGATAATAGCAAACATTGGAGTTGGTTATTCTTATATCCACGGGTATTTATCTAACTCACCCCCGCAGCTCCATATTAATCCCGCTAACTCCGCCGGATTATAAATCGCACCGCATCCCCTTCATTGTTAAGCTACACTGTATACATCGCTAGAACGTTCCATATATAGATTTCTAATTTCCATGAGGGAGCCAGAAAATATAACATTTCACCTTTCCTCAAACTGAATCCTGCCTGCCAGGTAGACTGCGACATTGCCCATGGACGGGCTGGTGGGCATTGCCCACGGGCCTTATGTAAGCGGGTAATGCCCATGGACGGGCACCACCCTATACGCCCACGGGCGATGGGCGTCGTGGGCGCCCACGGGCAATTTTAGTAAGCAGAATTCCTTGACCTCGTGACTTACGATATTTGTGCATTTCGGCTCTGTATTTTTAAGTAATTTGATTATATATAGATAGCAATGACACTGGTATATAGTAGGTTTTATAGGCATATAAATCTTATTGTAGTTATTAATTCATATTTATATTCACATTAATACGATATAAATTGATCATCACTAGGTTTGCCACGCTTCCTTGCTTCTCTTAACCTAGGGCGCCTTTGAGTGCCACCCTTATCTCTATAAAGAGGGAGATAAGGACTACTCTTATATTCACTATCGACTAACTTACTTCGCTATCGCTTCCACGCACTTACCACTATAGAAGGACAAGGGAGCTAACTCGCTATTACAAACTCCTCCTCGATTAGTCCGATAGGATTATTATCCTTAGAATCCTCACTATCGCTAATTGCTTTAGGTATCTCCGTAGTAAGCTCAGCCTCTCTCTATTCGTCTACTTCTTATATAGAATCTAAAGAGATATCCTCCTTAGGTAGTTCTTTAAGTTCAATATCGAACTAGACTTTACACTGAAATATCATAGTATCCTAGACTATCTTTATATTTAGCCGCCCACGGCGGTAGTAGTAGACATCGCGTGCTAAATTAAAAAGATATTTAACTCTGGCGCCTATTATAGGAATAGAGAGAATATCGCGAGTAACACTTAAGAGAATCGGGAATTCATTCTTATATTCCTTCTAGAAGTGTCCATGCGGGTTCGATGGTCGGGCTCAGACCTGTGACCTCGATTCCAAGCCTGTAGGGCTTCGCCGCGGACTGACCTTTACTATTCGTGGGCAGAGAGAACCCTCCACGCCCTAACAGCGTGTATCGAGCCCTTCCGATTGGTCATTATTGCAGGAAGCATGTTGAGTGGTAGAAATGCAAACCAATGGGGGCCGTGATGGAGAGTTCAACAAGACGCTGTCTGTCACGGTAATGAATGTTTATCAAATTTGATCGCTTTTGATCACTTCTTCTCTGGCAGCCGCTGCTAGGCCCATGGTCCCTACTGCCAGGGCAGAAATTCTGTCTTTTCCTTATTCGTCAGCACTCTCTATTTGCCTCGGTGCCTCCTTTGCTATGTAAAAAACCTCGCCAAGAACGTTGAAACTAGAGATAATCAGTAATGAGACATGATAATAGCGGTGTAATATTTCATTAATCGTCAAATCTGCGAGCCAGAAATGACCCTTCGCCCTTCCCACTTGCTCCCACCATGCCAACGCACCATTCAAGGAAATTATCGAATCCTTGATCTGGGTTACCTTCGTAAGATTGCCAATGCTGCTGAATAAAGGCTTTCAGTTCAGCAGAGGGTTCCCCAATGGAATTTAGGTCAGGAGAATATGCAGGCAAATACACTAGCTTCAAACCAATTACTGAACATATCTGCTCCGTTCGTTCGACGTGAGGCAAAAATAAGTTATCCACGACTAAGACAGACTTCGGCTCCGGGCACTTTCCACAGTAATGGAGAAGCTCCTCAACAAAATCCTCAGAAACGGACGCATTAGTCGAGCCTTTAAATACTCGAAAGGAATAATACTAGCTTGAGCATATGCAGACAGTATCTGATATTGTCGATCACGATGGAATTTCGACACTTGGACTGGTGTCGTACCATGAGAAGACCAGCCGGTTCACCTTAACCCGATTCACTTATCACATCCGGATTATCCACATAAACGAGGTGGTATGAGCAAAAGAGATTAGATGAGTAACCGCCACGTAGATCTGCGTTTCGCTCTGTGGTATCCGTTCGAAGTGGGTCATGAAGGCATTGACAGTACAGTGGTGTAACAAAAGTATTTGACCTCCGGTACTCGGTACTTTATGATCCACTTTTTGTCTGACCGCTTTTTATACCGCCTACTTTATTAGTACGTACGCTAACTCGCGTTTTCACGCGCTATAACATGTGCGCTATATTTCAACGCGTTAAGGATGGCCTAGATATTGAAATATCTAAGTATCCATTAGAAACTATGCCTCACAGTGTAACTAATTTTTTAAGTATAAGGATTGGCATACTAGCTATTAAATTGTATTGAATTTCGGAGGTTTCTGCCAGAGCAGTATTAGAAAAGTGGGACCTAGGCCGAAGTACTTGGGGTACTCCTCATTCCTCATTAGCCTTTATTTCTCGCTATCGGAGCTCGAATCTGACCGGTGGTGTTATTGTAGGGATCCAGGCGAATTGAGTTTTATACAGTATGCCTGGCTCTCGACTTTCGAATACTTTTCGAATATTCAAATTTTTTGAATGCGAATTATGACGCCGTAAATGTTTTCGAATACGAATAAAGAAAATCCTTATTCGATTCCACCCCTATTTGTTCCCATGTCATGCAAGGATTTCGCCAGACTTGGATGATAGAGGCTTATGAACCAATTACGGTGGTATTGCTTCGTTGGACAAAATCAACTTCCAACTACGTGGCACCAATCGCGCCCAGGTGATGATTAATTTAGAAGGAGAATCCTCGCAGCTCAGTCCCTCGAAGGACTCTTAGGAATCTGCGGTCATTCAGATGCTGATACTCTCACTTTCCCTCGATCCTCCAGAGACTGTTCCTTCGGACATACTCACATGAAAACATGAGTGGTGCTCATAGACAAACCCAAGCCGGACAGACACTGAGCATTATCGGTGCCGGTGCCTGCAGCACCACATGGACGCCAGAGGGAGGTGGTCCCGCTTTCAAAATCGAAAACGATGAAACCAACCGGTCGCTTTATAATGACTACCAGATGCATGAAAGAGCTGTCCAAAGCTTTCAGAGTCTTCCGATGTTCATCCAAATCCAAGTGCCAGATTGCTTTAACTTCATCACAGTCGCAAACCAAAAGTGGTGGGACGGGATCAATTAACGCCTTCCTACTCCGCGCACGCCTCGCAATTGCATACTGACCGAACGCGTGCTTCCTTTGCCAAAGGATACGATGCGCCTGCTTATACACAGCCATTGCCTCCAGGGAGTACTGCCGGATTCGGTTCTGCTGGATGTCAAGGACAAGGAGTGTTTCATCAGACCATACCTCGGTTGCAGCCAGCCACACAAGACCCGCTTGGAGCCGGAACAACACATTTACTCGCAAGTAGATATACCTCTGCATGTGAATCAAATGAAAAAGCTCGGTGTCTCTGATGCACATATGAAACAATACGCGCGCACAATGGCCGAGGCTCTTGCGACCATGCATTGGATTGGTGGGATTGACGGAAAGGGGGTCGAATATATTCTCGCACCACCGTGGGGTGAGACAATCAAGGCTGACACTATTTTAAATTCACTTAGTGACCATTGCATGTGGGTGCTTGACTTTGATCTTTGTAGAGAGATAGAGAGATGTCCATGGATGAGGCAGGGGTCCAACGAGCAGTCAGAGCCTTTCAGCAAAGCGAGCCATTCTATCCACGGCCGGCAACAAACAATTCACTCTGGTTAGAGTACCGAGAGCAATATTTACGAACCGGTGAAGAACGTCTTGAATGGGTGCCGTTGAATGGGTCAAAGCGTAATCAACGGAAGGCTTTATCACGTTTATTTATAGATCTAGTTGGAAAAGAGCTGGAAGATTGATCATATCGATGCTTCAAACAATCAGAGAATCTCCAAGCAGCCTGGCGCATTCGAAATTCACTTCTCGTCGACTTATGCAGGACAAGTCGATTGTCTCATGCCTTGGCTGTGTGCAGCGCGTACCAGAGGATGATTGACCACGCAATTTGACGTAGACCTTTGGTTGTATTTACTCGTCTTGCAATGAATGCTCTGAGATCTCAAAAATGACCAGATACATTGAATTGTCGGGCCAGACTGCTTGAACGGCTGAGATCAATAATTGTATGCCCAAGAATTAATTGATCAGGCTAACTACCCCGTCGAATCACGACTCTTTTACGCGATTTGGTTACTAAACGAATTCGATTACCAGCCCCCAGCTTTTTCTGTCCGCAAATTTTACTTTTCTGCTTTCCAGCCACATTGAAAATGTTCCTCTTGACCAGTGTAGTGATTTCCTAGTGGTGTGTTTCTGTTTAATTCTTGTAAACTCATCTTAACGCTGATCCCCCATATTAAATAGTCCGCTCCGGAGAACCCAGGGGTTCTCCAGGAATCAGTCTCTGTATTCCTCCGATATACTACTTGCTTTCCAGGCAACTTCATCTTACCTAGTTGACAGGCTCTATCCTGCAAACACTAGAACCCCTTCTTTACACGTTTTTAGATAATGCCTTTCTTAAGCTGTTAACAACGTCGCCGTAATACTTAGGACTATAAGCCTGCTTCTTTCTATTCGCAGTGGTATTAAGAATAGATATAGCATGAATTAGAGTAGGAACTAGGTAGTGAGAAAACAAGAATAATATTAAAAAGGAAGAGTAGAAAAAGAAAACCGTAATGACTAAGATCTAGAAGAGACCTAGGGATTGGAAATTGACGATGTACTTGCAAGTCTTGGACGAAGTGCTGTGAGCAAGCCTATGGGTTCCGACGGGGGCAGAGGCTCTTTAAATATTAGAACAGAAGGCTTGGG